TGCTTGGAGGACCACAGAAGTCAGGGTCTAATCTACTGTGCAAGATGCAAAACCAGCACAAAGGGCCAGCAATAAGTGCTAATGTGCAAACCTGGGAGACTACCATCATCTGCAGTCAACAGCTCACCATGGCCTGAGTTTGAGGACCTCTCACCTGCTGAAATCAAAGCACATGCAAGGAAATAAAAAGAACTGTTCATTGAATTGAGGCTGTGCTCAGCTTTAGGTTTTGACTTTGGCTGCTCTATCCTAATCTAGGATAATTACAGAGGGTCCCCTTCCTGCCTCCTTCCCCAAAAGAAGGGATAAAGTTTACAAAAAAACAACTTTCTCCAAACCAGCAGAAATACTGACATAATGGTGAATATAAAGCTTTACTTACTGAAAGAAAAATTCAAACTAGGCAAATGCTGATCTTTCTGAGAAGCTGCCCCTTTCTTACACTTATGCACATTTGAAACATCATTTTCTCTCCAACCTAGACAATGCAAAACTCTTTTCTGAGACAAATCTTTACAGACTGTTTGCTTTTGGGCCAGAAAAAGGAAAGCCCCAAAGGCTGACTGGTTAAATATAAACTATAATTTTCACTCAGTGAATCAGTAAAACCTTGAAAGAACTAAAAACAGCTTTCAACTGCACAGCATACAATGAAAGGACTTTCAATTATGTATATTCCTGCCCAGCACAGGAAGGCTAACAAGAATAGTCCACCTGCTCACTAGTTAATAGTGCTTCCTTCCATACTTTGATATAATTTCCCTTCTGAATTAAACCTCGTAATAATCCAAAGTCTAAAGCAAATTGCTACCCTGGCTTATAGCGTGCTTTCAATTACAAATACATGCTAAAATTTGTGTGTAAGTTCAGACTGCATCTCATTTGGAAATAAGCTTTTAATATAATAAACTAAATTTACAATCCTAAGTGCATCATACTTACAGGTGCACCTAGAAAAGTGCACCAAACTTAGAAATAACTTAGAAATATTGCAGTACAGTGGCATCTGCCACTGAAGATGTGCAAAGTTCTTCACAAATATTGATGTGTTTCAGTCTAAAAATCTTTGGATAGGACTTAAGGACACATGAGCATTGAGATGCAGTCACCATGAGAAAAGCAGTAGATGCAAAGCAACAGCTCATGAGATACAGAAAGTAGCAGAAGACCACTCTATTCAATTAGCTCTGTTGTATAATGAAATTAGAAAGTCAGAAGAAGTTATTGTTAGCATCTTTTATGCTCACAAGAAGTGTCACATTGTCTAATGCCCACATATGCCCAGTTCCCAGCAGTAAAAAGTCCTCTGCATGAGGGAAGTGTGCACAGTGGGGTTTGCTGCAAACTTCTTAATGAAGCTAAGCTTCATTACAAAGCTATCCTCAAAAGTTGCCTGACTTTGGTTTTGCAAGTTCTGTGTGTCTCAGAGTATAAGGTAACTTGCCTGCACCTCACATTGTGCTGCACACTCACTGCAGTGCCACCTCACCTCCCATCTTCTGCAGGTTAAGTTGTAGAAATACAGCAGAAAGGTGTGTAGTATCATGTAGACACTCACCACACATACCAACACCTACATGTATTGTGCTTTAAAACTGCAGCAGAGAATCTACAAAGTGTATCACTTCAGAAAACCAGCATTTTTCACTTCTACTTCTGCACCTCAAGGTATCTTGGTCTATTTGGATCCAAACTTGGTCATAGACTTCTGCCACAGACGTTTTCCTCACAGATTTAAAGTGAGAAGCCTTCTTGAATCATGTCCTAACTGAGCTAAACAGTTGGTTCTCATTCTTACAGCCTTACCCAAAGCCAAAGAAATGCAGAGACAGTCAGTGTACTCACTCATCACAAGTTAATGAGGTGCTTTAAACCAATTTAATTAAACCAGGAAAAACCCAGAAAGGAGGAGTCTCCAGCATGTTTCTGAAAGGTGTACAGAAATTTAGCAGAATTTGCATCAAGTTTCATATAACTTAAATACAGAAATTAGATATAAAGAAATGTAGATGCTTCCATACTGGGGTTCTGAAGCAGTTTTAAGTGACAAGCAAAGAAGTCTCTTTCTAAATAAAGCCTTGAACAGAAACAGACCTGGAGGAAGACAAACCAAATCCATGCTTATAATAAAAATCACACTTGCCCAAGCTTAGCTCAGCAGAGGTATAAAGGCATGTGCTTTGTGTTGCAAAAGCTTCCAGGCACAGAGCTGCAAATACAACCTCCTGTTACCAAAAAAAAAAAAAAAAATTCTGGTCACTGCTACAAAAGGTACTCTTTAGGGAACTAGAAAAGGCAAAAAAAAAAAAAAGAATTAAGCCACCAAACTTCTGATCCTTTTTCTTTCACCCCAAATTACATAATATCAATTATCTTATTTTTAAAAAGTTGTCCCGTACATCAAGGTACAGATTATATGAGAACTCAGAAGAAAGTGAAAAAAAAATAGCAAGCTCAGAAATAAGAAAGGTCAGTAGTTTCATTTTCCTGTTTAAACTTTGTTACACTTTGAACTTGCAATTTGTGAAATACCATTCACTTAGGGTCTCCTCTCAATGTTTAAAGCATCCCACTGACTTTAACCATTCTGACACAGTACACAACTGGATTTACACACTAATCAAGAGAATTCAGCTTCAAGTTTCCTTCATGGGAAGCCTAAGACAACCTGGGAACCAATATTGATAAAGAAAACTGTTTATCTCTAGTCAGATGGGTGGAGAATAAGAGTTCTGAGGAAGTAACAACATCTGAAATATTAGTCAAAAGTTAAACTGGCCACATCAGACACAGGATGCTAAATTTTATAATAATGCATTTGCCAGAATCAGTGCACCTGACTATGGCTTTAAAAAGGGAATCTTCGATAAACAGCCATTTCCTAGTGTTATGTACCTAGAAATGGAAATACTATTAGATAGGTGCAAAAATAATTAGAAATTATAATGCTTGACTGTGTGAACTGAAGCCCCCTGGCATGCATGCACATACCCACACACAGCAGCAAACACCTGCACATAACACCAAACATTTCCATAACAAGCTGGAGTTAACTGGTTTAATTCTTTCCCCAGCTGATAACCAGCATTAGGATCATCCATCAGTCACACTGAATTCTTAAATGAGTTCTGAAGCAAAGTCACAGTCAGCTGTAACAAAGGAGCTGTATCACAAGAACTGTTACAATTTAATTCAATTTACACTATAAACTGAAAGGGGACTACTGTGTGTTGCAGTCCCATGAAACTTACCCCACAAGTCAGGTAACTGCTTAACTTTGCTATAAAGAAATTACAACTTCCAGGTTTATTACTGCCTTCTCCTTAGTGACAGCCCTGAGAGTATGTGCTTCACTTCCCAGAAAAAGAGCAAAACCTCTGAAACACAACTGCTCAGATGCTGAGCAGGGCCCAGGCAGCTCAAGTCCTGCTGCTGGCAAAACAAGGACAAGCTGCTGCTCTCACACTGTGCTCACCCCTCTCTGCAGCACCTCAAACAGATCCTCACCCAGCCACAGCTGGGAGGCTTGTACCTCAATCCATCAGAGCTCTTGCCAGTCATCAGTCCCTCTGGGATGTCTGGCATCAGCTCAAAACAATAAAATGCAACCACTGACAGACTTCACAGCAATATGGAGGAAAGGATGCATGAGAAAGCCATACCGTGCAAGTACTTCCAGTACAGAAGAGATTCCAGCAAATTTTTAGGAGTGCTAGCACTCCTAGCTAGCTAGCTGTTTTCTAGCACACTTGTGATGCCTGACAATTTCACCTCTGCTCCTTCTCAGAAATGCATTGTTTCTGAAAGGGCAACACCATAACTGCCCTGATAGACATATCCCAAACACAGCCATAGCAAAAGCCAGCAACTCAAGTAACAGTGTAAGTCTGCTGTAACCCCTGACTCTGGATTTACACTGGTAAAATTAAAGAACAGAATATATTCCTAGTAATGTTTTTATCTTCTCCTGGAACACCAGTGTTATCTTCACCTAGAATATCTTTTTCTATGTTGTTTATTAAAATACTCTGGATTCCTGGAGGGCTGAATAATTTATTTTCCATGGTTTCAGAACATCTTTTCTTGTGGTGTGCAGGAAATAGTGCAAGACTGAAGGACTGGATAGTTTTAGGATGATCACACAACCTGTTTTCACAGAACCTGTTCCTAAGGAGAAATAATGTAATCATTAGAAACTGTGACAAATCAGCTCCCACAGGAATGAAAGCTTGCTCTGGAAAGACAGTTATTTTACTCTATGAAACTTGCATACTGCCACAAAAACAGTTTTTATTGCCTCTGATGGCACAAGATTGGATTAAAAGCAAGAACACATCCCTTTGGCTGCGCCCTAGCATCCCATCCCCTTACTTTTGAATATTTCCCTTCAACTTCTTTGTACACAAAGGAAATAACAAAGACATCTGCTGTGGAAAAACAAAACAAAACAACAAACCAAAACACCAGCACTTTCCATATTCCATTTAAGTATCACACAGTAGACCCAAGAGACACAGGCATACTTTTTCCTAAGGCTATGGACTTTTACAGACACAGTGTCTAAGAAGTAAGGCTGTGACAGAGCACAGCAGCAGGCTCCTCAAACTAGCCTTTTCGCTCACGAAAGTCACGTTGTAATTAACCCAGAGAGCATCACTGAACACCCAGCAGCCAACAGTGGCACACGTTGCACCTTCTCGAGCCCGGGGGTGCCTGTGCACAGACCCACGCCGCGCAGTGCAACCACCTGTTCGTGCACGCACGGACACCGTGCACACACCCCTCGCTGCTCCCTGACTGACTCCGCTGCGTTAAAGGCGTTAACTGCAACCCAAACACATTATCACGACACTGAGGAAACTCAAGCTTGGCCTTTAATCAGCTCGGACCAAGGGCCAAGCAAGCCGGGATGCGGGGCTCCCACGCAGGGACCCTACCGTGGTGCTACTGCTGTGCCAATCCACTGCCAGCAAGGGACTCTTGGAAGCCACCTTGCTCCTGGGAGACAAAAAAAAAAACAACAAACAACAAACCCCACAACAACCACACCCCCCAAACCTCCTCAGCCCGTTCTGCTGGCAGAGAACCCCCTCGGGATCTGCCCTAACAGGGTGCGGGTCCCCCCCACGCAGCATCCCCGGGCACGCCGGGGAAGTTACAAACTCCCCTTTCCCGCCATCCCGCCGGCATTTCCCCTCCCTATTCCCATTCCCAAGAGGACAAG